CATTATCAGTGGCATAGCAAAAACCAGAGGCCTCAAGCCAGACCGATGACTCTAGGGTGAACTGTGGGATTCCGTGGGCCACACCACCGCTGAACTGTGATTCCATGGGCCACACCACAGCTTCCACAACTAAATTTTTCTTCTGTTTTTGTTTTGTTTTTTCTTTTAAATTTGTTTTTGATTTGGCAGTGCGGAGGGTGCAAGGGTAGAGGGCAGATCAAGGGGATGAGGACATAAGAGGGATCAGAGTGCGTGATATGAAATCCACAGAGAATTGATAAAAGTAAAAATATGAGTAATAGCTGGACATTAAAAGGCTGTTGGCACTGCATGATTTCCCTTGCTCACATCTCTCTCATTCTGCAGGGATGAAGTTGACATCTCCTTGGACCACGAGCGAGCCTAAGCTGATCATAATCAAGGTGAGTGGTTGGATCGGCAGGCCCCATCCATAAATGGACAATTTAACCCCATAGACCTACAGGGTAGGGGTTCTTTGGATCTTCCTTTACCGAGGCCCAGAGAGGTGGACCTCAGGATGCCAAGGTGATGAATTTAGCAGATGAAGACTTCAAGGAAACTGACGCAAAAATGTTCAAAGCACTTGTTTGATCTCATTGAGTACAAGAAATTAAAATAGGACAAAATAAAGTGTAAAATTTTAGAATTGGAAATATTGGAACTTAAATAAAAAGCTTTAAAAATCGTCCCAAACAGTAGACTGTATATGTCAAAGATGGGCACATTAGTAGCCCACGGGCTGGGGGAGATAGCTTAGCAGTTATCACTGCTCCCTGTTCTTTCAGAAACCAGCGCTCCATTTGCAGTCCCCACAGCACACAATGTCCCTTAACTGCAGCTCCGGGGAGTATGGCACACTCTTCTGGTCTCTGCAGACATCTTACACGGGTGGTACACTCAAGTTTGGACACACATACATGCACATACACACTAAAGTAAATCTTAAAAACCAAGTCCTAGAAAAACTGGGTTTCCAGTATCAGAACAAATAGCAATTCTTCCCTTGTGGAAAATGGAGGGAGCTGAGTGTGTCGCTTACAGGATGCTCCGATAACGGGCATAAGCTCTTGGCAATCTTTCCTGGCCTGTGTCCAGTTTGTGTGTGCCTCTACATTGCTCTGCCTATACATCTAACCCAGTGCCTGCCCTCCCTGTTTTTTTTGAAAATATTGGCTGGAGGCAACCTTTGGTTTTTCCAATGGAATATGCAAATTAAATGTACCACCCCAAAAGGGCACACCTATGAGCAGGAATGGCGCCATGGGGGTAGTCCCATTCTTGGGTCCTGTAAGGCAGTAAGGGTCAGGCATGTATGGGGGGTAGTGAAAGAGATAGGAGGCAGTTAGTATACATCGTGGAATAAGGAGTGTACAACATTTTATGGTCAAATGGCTTAAAGTAATGGGAGAAGTGGGGCATCCAGTGTTCCGGGAGGAAGATGTGCCTCAGTTCTTACCTCTCCAGAGGTCTGTACCACTGAGGTGTGGTGTTCTGTTTTTAATGTCCTGGGAGCTACCTTTGTCTGTGTTGTTCATATAATAGTAGAGGCAGTGATTTTGGAGTCAGATTGTAGAAATGCTCTAACCCAAAGAATAGAGAAAAAAATTACCGAAGGAAAAATAGCAGCACCTCAGGGGTCCGAAGGACAGTAAATAACTGACCATCCTTGCCATAGGCTGCCTGGAAGGAAAGGAAGGTGAGGCAGGAGAGAATATATAATGTCCAGTGTTTGAGAAAAACACCACTCTCAAGACCCTCAAGATCTCCAAACACAATACAAAGACCTAGAAAATGTTTCCTGCGTCATGGGAGTTACCAAGGGTCAGCTCCAATGAGCTGGCTTCAGACACTCATCTTCAATAAGCCCATTAAACAAGCAATGTGAAAGCAGGGAAGGGATTTGTTTGTTGTGATCATATTAGAAAGAGGGGCAACAAGGCACAGAAGATAATAAAAATATTAAATTAAATTTAAATACTTTTATTTGTCAAAATAAGCCATAGAGTGTTCCAGGATATTTAATCACACTGTGGATCCCAAGATTGCACTATTGACTACAAAAACTTGTTTCTAGTTGTGTGTGGCTCAGCCTTAGCACACACCTCTAATGTAAGAGCTTTCTGCATAAATATTGTAAACAGGATTAAATAAAACCAAACGTAGGTCAAGAGGCAGAGCAAGCAACCAGTTGACAGAAAAAAAAACATAGAGAGCAAGAGGGAGGCAGGAGGACAGATAGAGAGACACACAGGAAGTAGAAGGGAGGACCATTCAGTTTGAGGAGTTTTGAGTAGGAGAACGCTCTTTCTGGGACATTGGCGGAGGAGGAAGGTCAGTCGGCTGCTTTCTCTGCCTCCCTGAGCTAGCAGGTTTTCACCCCAGCATCTGGCTCCTGATTCTTTATTGGTAAAATGAAATAATTGAGATGTAGTTAAAGACAAGAGAGAGACAAAAAAGCTATAAACTTGAAGGTAGTATTTGTAGTACTTGTGAAAAGTGGCACTTCCCGGAACATAAAAACCACTCACAATCCCAGCAGAAAAAACAAACAGCCTAGAGGGGGAGCAAGCAGGAGACACAGCCTTAGCCAGAGCTTGAAGCGATATTAAACTTCAAAGTCAGACCCAAACCAGTATTCATTATTGTGACGGTTAATTTTTGTCATTAACTTGATGGGATTTAGAATAGGAAACAAACCTCTGGGCATATCTGGAAGGGAGCTTCTAGATTAGGTTGACTGAGTTGGGAGCACACACTCTAAATATGGGCAGCACCATTCTATGTGCTGAGGTTTCGGGTTGAACAGAAAGCAGAAAGTGAGCCTGGCATGGGTGTTTATGACTCTGCTTCCTGACTGCAGATCGGGGAGCCTCAGTTTCAGGCTCCTGCTGCTGTGCTTCCTGCCATGATGGACTGTACCACCAAACTGTGAGCCAGAATTAACCCTTCCTGTCCCAGGAATAAGTAAAGTAACCAATACAATTACTTTTTTTTTAACTGTTAAAAGTTAATACACAGGTGCTGGAGAAAAGGCTCAGCGGTTAAGAGCACTGACTGCTTATCCAGAGGACCTGGGTTCAATTCCCATCACCCATGTGGCAGCTCATAACTGTCTGTAACTGTTCCAGGGGACCTGACACCCCTGATAAAACATCAATGCCCATAAAATAAAATAAAAAAGTTAATACACATTGAAGAGGATATCTTATATACATTACCAATGAATGAATAATTCAAACAGATTTAGCAAATAATTTTCTATTCTCTTGCCGAGCTGTGTATCTGCCTAGCCTGCGACTCTGCTCCTGGCTGTGTGCACGTGCGCCAAGAAGCATGCACCATCTTAAATGATTTTTAGATTATTTGTGTGTGTGAGTGTTTTGCCTGCATGTATATCTGTGCATGTACCTGGTGCCCACAGTGGTGAGAAGAGGGTGTCAGATCCCCTGGAACTGGAGTACTACTGATGGTGGTGAGCCACAGTCTGGGTGCTGGGAACAGAATCTGGGCCTTCTGCAAGGGCAGCAAATCCCTTTAATCACCGAGTCATGTCTCCAGCCCCATGTACACACGGTCCTTATAAGAAGAAAACTAGAATTACGCTAAGTCACAGAGTGAACTTGATCCTACAGGAGGAAGCCTCCCCTCCAGCCTTCTCCTTCTACCCCCGCCTCTGAAAACTCTAAGCAGAACCTGGCGACTGTAACCTGGTGAGGTCACAGAACTCCCAGAGGGAGAGTCCTCAGAGATGAGGGTTTTGTGAGCTCTTCAGATTGGAGCTAGGCTTTGGTGCTCGAGAGGCGTGGAGGAGTCACAGCTCCTTGACCATGGTGAGGCTTGCCTATGGCTTGTTAGTCGTGTGGGTTGAGGGTCCTGGACTCCACTAGGAGTCTAAGGGCTGCCAGCCACAGTCATCACTGTAGCCCACTTACCTTGGGCACATGCAACAGGAAAGGGGTCAATGGGCACAAGAGACATTTGTGGACATGATGTTTTACCACCAGGCTCTGTCTGTTCCCATGTTCTGCCTGTGAAATTTGTACTGTGCTCGTGTGAGCAGTTTCTTGTCAGGGTGGAGGCTTGGGTCATCCCTCCTTCAGAGATCAAGCAAAGGGCTTGACCTAAAATGTAGTCTGAGCAGCTGGGGAGGTATCTCTGTCCATGAAGGCTGTGCCTGTTGTACAAGTATGAGGACCCAAATTTGATCCCTAGAACCCAAGTCTTATTCTGGGTTTGATGGTATGTTCTTGTAATCCTAAAGCTGGGAAGGCAGATGTGGGAGGATCCCTGGGGCTCTCTGACCAGCCAGCCTCGCCTAATTGACTGCTGTCCTACAAAATCTGATCCCTGGCCTCTATACACGCTTTTACACACATGTACACACACATACACACACACATGAACACCTCACAAATACATTTAAAAATTTAAAGTGTTTTTTGACATTAAGAATTACCTGGCTGGAGAGATGGCTCAGCGGTTAAGAGCATTGCCTGCTCTTCCAAAGGTCCTGAGTTCAATTCCCGGCAACCACATGGTGGCTCACAACCATCTGTAATGAGGTCTGGTGCCCTCTTCTGGCCTGCAGGCATACAGGCAGACAGAACACTGTATACATAATGAGTAAATAAATAAGTATTTTTTAAAAAAGAATTACCTGGGTTTTCCTAAATGATGGTCATATGTGATAAGTTTCAGTTCTTGATTCCACAGAGCTTAACTTGCCCTGTTCTTGGAATGAACCCCGAGTTGCCCAGCCCCTGAAGCCCCTTGACAGATCCCTAGAATCTGCACCAGGCTCTCTCTTCTGCCTCCCAGTCTGGCCCAAGGAACTCACTGAATTATCCCAGTAACATGGATGGAGAACTGGGTGCTCAGAGAAGAGTCTGGTGGGGACAACAGATGTCTGGTGGGCACTGGGGTTCCTTTCTCCTTGTCTTCGCCTCTCCCCTGACTTCTGCTCTGCTGCTCCATCCCAGTGTGAGGAGATGAAAACCACTAGGCAAAACTGTGTGCAGGGCCCTCAGCACAGCAAGGAGGCCCTGAACAGACTTAACCAAGCCATCCAGCAGTTGAAGAAGGAAGTGGAGAATGCTCAGAGCCAGGTGAGTGAGAGCGGGAGGGAGCCATTGCCATGACACTTCCTCTAGGTCCCATTATCCTTTGGAAGAGGTGAGTTTTTGTATGTGTGTGTGAGAGTGTATGTGTGTATGCTGTGTGTGAGTGTGTGTGAGAATTATGTGTGTGTTAGTGTGTGTGAGTGTGTGTGAGTGTATGTGTGTGAGTGTGTGATGTGTTTGAGAATGTATGTGTGTGTGAGTGGATGGGAGAGTGTATGTGTACTTGTGTTAGTGTGTGATGTGTGTGTGGAAGTGTATGTGTGTGTGAGTGTGTGGGAGAGTGTGTGTGTGTGTGATGTGTGTGAGAATGTATGTGTGTGTGAGTGTGTGGTATGTGAGAGTGCATGTGGGAGAGTGTATGTGTGTACATGTTTGAGTGTGTGTGTGCATGTGTGATGTGTGCGTGTGTGATGTGTGTGTGTGATGTGTGTGTGTGTGTGATGTGTGTGTGTGATGTGTGTGTGTGTGTGTGTGTGTGTGTGTGTGTCTGACTGCATTTACCACTCATGCTTCCCTTTGCCTGGGGTGTTTTATATAGAAAGGCAATTAACCAAGAAATTATATATCAACGCATATTGCTTGGCCTTCCCTTGTTTGATTTTTGTTTTGCCTTGTAATAATTCTGTGCTATGTTTAGAAATGACAAGATTCACCAGAAACTCAGTTTTCCAGTTTATTCAAAACATGTGACAATCGAGGTGGGTGTTGTAGCACACGTTTGTAACTCCTGCGCTTGGAAGATCTCAGGTTCCAGGCCTCCTAGTGCCGTAGGGTGAGTTCAAGAGCATCTGGGCTACAAGGCTTATTAGCTTGGGTTCTGGCTCATCAGCAGAATGTTTGCCTAGCCTGCCAAAGGCCCTGGTTCTCAAGTCCCTCGCTGAAAAACTAAACATAAAATAGAGCCCTAATCCTTGTGCTTGGGAGGCTGAAACAGAAGAATTTCCAGATGAGGGCAGTCTGGGCTGCACAGTGGGGTCCAGGCAAGTCTAGACTAAACAGAGTGAGACACTGCCCCAAGACAAACAAGCAAACCCACAAAAACAACACAACACAGAGAAACAAAAGCCCCCATCCCTGTCCAAAACCAAAGGAAACGTGCAGAACTGGCAGCAGCAACCTGGTGGGAAGTTGTGGCTCCTCACAGGGCCCAGCAGCTTCCTGTGGGCCGCCTCCAGCTCTGCCACTCCTGACTGGGGCACCGTGCCTGTCCTGCACACGAGGAAGGGAAGGAGTGTGTCCCTGGAGAAAAGGACTGGATGCATGTAGAAGTCCTGCCTTAGCAGGAGCAGAAGAGACCAAGTCTCTCAGAGACCAGGATTCTGTGTGCTGGCCTTCATCTTCATCAGGGAGGCCCTGACGGTGTTTGAGGCCCCGGTGTGCAGGGAGAGGATGCTCACGGATACCTTTCTTCTCCCAGCCTCCTCTTTCTACCCATGAAGTTCCCTCAGTTGATCTACCTGGCTCATCCCGTATCCCTGTCCAGGGCTTTCTGTTCAGGGTCTGGTTTTACTTTTTGCAGATCCAAGTGTCTTAGGCTTGAGGTGTATTCTTGTTGTAGGGTTCCTTGTTCAGAAACTGGTGGCTTTGAGGCAAATGACCTGGTTGTGGTTCTGGTGGTGACAGAAGGGTGGGAAGGCCCACAGTGGTTGAGTCTCCCAGTAGCCAAGCTGCCCTGATTGCCCAGGCAGCAGCACCCTCACCAGGCATATGCTATAAGTACTGTTTCTAGAGATGTATACTCTGGCTCCTACGGGAAAGGAGACCTTCTATTCTGATTTGGGTGGTATTGGGGGCAGAGCCCAGAGTTATTCCCATAGTGGTGAGCACTTTGCTACTGAGCTGCTCCCAGATGTCTATCCTTTTTCAGTGTGAAGTCTCCCTGAGTTTCCCGAGCTGGCCTTGCACTCTCTGGATTCTAGGAAGGCCTTGAACTTTTGATCCTCCTGCCTCAGCCTCTTGAATAGCTGAGACTACAAAGCCTTCAGATTCTGCTCATTCCTTATGAAACACTAAACCAGTTTATCTATTTATTTATTTTGGTTTTTTTGAGACAGGGTTTCTATGTGTAGCTTTAGTGCCCGTCCTAGAACTCGCTCTGTAGACCAGGCTGGCCTTGAGTTCACAGAGATCTGCCTGCCTCTGCTATCTGAGTGCTGGGATTAAAGGCGTGTGCCACCACCACCTGGCTCAGTTTCTTTGATAAAGAATATTTGGCTCTTCTTTAATCTTAACTCTCATGAGGAGTGCCATCATTGAGACAGAGAATTCTTAGCAGTTCCAGTTGGTGGCCTCCAGTGTCGTCTTGAGTGCAGGGAGTGGGCAGGTTTTTTTCCTTTTCTTTCTTTCTTTCTTTTTTTTTTTTTAAATCTTGTGGTTTAGACATACTGAGAAAAACGCGAATTCCAGAGCAAGCCTTCACTTCTTCCCAACCACAGATCATACCCTCATTTACCCCAGGGCTTTGAGGAACCGCAGGACTTCTGAGGCTGAGGAAATGAGGCTTTTTCTTTCTCTGCTCTTTGCTCCATCCCAGCACTGTGAACTAGAGAAAGCCAAAGATGTGGAGGCCGGGCCGCATGTGGCCTCAAGCAGTGTTAAGGGCAAACTGGCCTGGCTGGAGGCCGCCCTGCAGCGGGCCAAGCAGGACATGGCACGGCAGCTCCGTGAGTACCAGGAGCTCATGATCGTCAAGCTGGGCCTGGACTTTGAGATCGCCATCTACCGCAGGCTTCTGGAGGGCCAGCAGCAGAGGTGAGGAGCCAGGAGGTGAGGGAACGGGTGTCGGTCTTCCCACACCTTAATAGCGCCTTGAATGAAAAGGCCCTAGCACTGGTGCAGGCGGAGTCAGTGTCAGACAGGAGACAGTGTAGGTAGGTGCCAAGGCCAGACTCAAGGAGCTTGCAGGGTAAAGGCTTATCTGGTCTGGGGATGTGGGAGTCAGAGGTGTCTGTCTTGGGGAATCTGGTAGGAACTGGTAGGAAACTCGGGAAACTGAGTTAGCTGTGGCTTCTTTTATCCCCCCCCCCCCCCCCCCCCCCCCTGCACAGGCTTGGTCTGGGACTTGGGGCAGGGAGCTCAGGTAAGGGACTTGGGTAAGACATAAGCTCTTCTGGCCATCCCCCCCCCCCCCCCCCGCCCGCCTCAATTCCCTCGGTCCCCTGAGAAGGCAGCAGGCAGGGGTTTATCTGTCTTTCTGTGCAGATTGCAGTTGTGGTGGGGGCTGTTTCTTCTCAGGGGGGTGATTCCCTGTGTGTTTGGGAGAGGACTTAGAAGTCCCTGGCAGGGGTTGGGCAGGAAGGCTTTCCTGAGTCCTTTGGTCTCACCTCTCACGTGACTCTCTATGAAGCTCCAGGCACCGATGTCAGCCTAGGTCCGGGCCTGACCTCAGTCTCTGTACCACCTCGGGCACCCGGAGTCTGTTCCCGTGGCCTGGATGTGAGCGCCCCCAGCGGTGTTTGCACTCTCTGCAGCTCCGCGGACTGTGCTGGAGGCTTTGGCTGCCGTGGCTCCTGTGGCTCCCATGAGTGTTGAACACTTCCCTCTCCACTTCCCTCCGGAGAAGACTTGGAACTCGTGCTTCTGCATGAAGACTTGTCCCTCTGGTCTCAGATTCCCCTCCCACAAAGCGGGCCCTCACATCAATGTCTCTTTTGTGCCTCACCTGGAACTAGACGGGATGCTGGTGTCATCCTGTACCAACGTCTGTGTCTTACCTGAACCTTGGACCCTGCCCCTCTTACTTGCCCTATCCCTTTTCTTCTAGGCTTCCCCTTTAATAAAACTTTCTGCGGTGGCTAAGCAGCCAGCCTGTCTGAACCTGACTTTCTGGCTACCTCACAGCTGAGTTCTATCTCGGCACCAACCAATACTGTAAAAGGATATGACTTGTTCAGGAGGCAGAGGCAGGTGGATCTCTGTGAGTTCGAGGCCAGCCTGGTCTACAAGAGCTAGTTCCAGGACAGGCTCCAAAGCTACAGAGAAACCCTGTCTCGGGGGAAAATGATACGCCGCTGTGTGGGTGCAAAGTGACTTACATTTTGGGTGACTTTACTGTACGACTTTAGACTTTATGATGGGACAGGTGAAATGAGGCAGGGCACATCCTGCTGGGGTCCACAGTCAACTGTCCCAGCACAGGACTCTGTCCCCTCACTCACTCCTCCACTCTGCCAGTCTTGTGTTGGAGCTGAGAGTGTTAACGCCAGACTTGTACATGCTATGCGTGTGCTTCCCTGCGGTGTACATGCTGGGTGTGTGCTCCCCTGCGGTGTACATGCTGGGCGTGTGCTCCCCTGCTGTGTGCATGCTGGGCGTGTGCTCCCCTGCTGTGTGCATGCTGGGTGTGTGCTCCCCTGCGGTGTACATGCTGGGCGTGTGCTCCCCTGCTGTGTACATGCTGGGCGTGTGCTCCCCTGCTGTGTACATGCTGGGCGTGTGCTCCCCTGCGGTGTACATGCTGGGCGTGTGCTCCCCTGCGGTGTGCATGCTGGGCGTGTGCTCCCCTGCTGTGTGCATGCTGGGCGTGTGCTCCCCTGCTGTGTGCATGCTGGGCGTGTGCTCCCCTGCTGTGTGCATGTTGGGCGTGTGCTCCCCTGCTGTGCGCATATGCTGTGTGCATGCTGGGCGTGTGCTCCCCTGCTGTGTACATGTTGGGCGTGTGCTCCCCTGCTGTGTGCATGCTGGGTGTGTGCTCCCCTGCTGTGTGCATGCTGGGCGTGTGCTCCCCTGCTGTGTGCATGCTGGGCGTGTGCTCCCCTGCGGTGTACACGCTGGGCGTGTGCTCCCCTGCGGTGTACACGCTGGGCGTGTGCTCCCCTGCTGTGTACACGCTGGCTGTGTGCTCCCCTGCTGTGTACATGCTGGGCGTGTGCTCCCCTGCTGTGTGCATGCTGGGCGTGTGCTCCCCTGCTGTGTGCATGCTGGGCGTGTGCTCCCCTGCTGTGTGCATGCTGGGCGTGTGCTCCCCTGCTGTGTGCATGCTGGGCGTGTGCTCCCCTGTTGTGTGCATGTTGGGCGTGTGCTCCCCTGCTGTGTACATGCTGGGCGTGTGCTCCCCTGTTGTGTACATGCTGGGCGTGTGCTCCCCTGCGGTGCTACATTTCAGCACCCCTTCCCCCTTTTTGGAGACAGGGTCTCCCTATGTAACCCAGACAGGCATGGAACTTCCTGTGGCCCAGGACTGAACTCAAAATTCTCCTGCCTCAGCATCCCAAGTATGCACCACAATACCCAGCTCCCCCTGGAATGGCGGAATAAGGTCCATACGGTGAGTAAGACATTCTTACCTTGCTCTCTGGATGAAGGACACAGAAATACGCAGGAATAAAGAAGGATGACACGGGGAAGAAAGACCACCTCTGCTGCCCCGAAACACACTAAGGGCCAGGCTCAGGTTGAGGCTGGGCAAAGATAGTCAAAACTGGGTGGGCCAGACCTGGGTTCTAATGTAGGAAGTGATGGTAGTGGGCCCGGAGCACACTGAGGCGCGGGGAAGCATCCTCACCTCTACTTCCAGACCTGAGGGATACGCTGGTCTGAGTTTTCACGGGGGGGGGGGGGGGGGGGGGGGGGCAGAAGATAGGACAAGTCTCTGAAGGCGACGTGCTGGAGCAAGGCTGGCTTTACAGGCCTGGAGAGCAGAGCGTGCTCAGAGCGTTCACATTCTTTCCCCTTGTGAAAAGGATTACATCATCAGTGCGCCTTGGGAACAACAGTTGCTGCTCTCCGTCTCTGGGTGGGGCGCAGGCGCGTCATTAGCCAGAGGCCCAGCATCGCCTTTTAAGGCTCAGAAGTGCCGGACTGTCTGCTGCTTCCCTGCTTGAGCACCTGGGGAGCAGGTATCCAGAAGGCTCCTTTCCTGGGTAAACACAACAGTCTCATGGATGGAATGGATGGAAACTTGCTTGCTGGTGACCACGCATATCCTCACCAGCCCCACGGGTCATCTCTGGCCCTCTCTAATCAGACTCTCCCAAAGCAAGGAACCCTGGGGTGCAGCCCCCTCTGTGAGCATCCAGAGTCCAGCGTCTTGTCCCTTGTATTTTGCTGGGAGGTAATGAGTTTGATTTTCAAAGGCAGGTTTTTGTTTTGTTTTTGTATTTTTTCTGTTCCAGTTTGAGTGTATGCGTTAATGAGGGGGCTTTGAGGGAAGTGCTGACAGAATATCTCAGGGACCTGCAGGCAGGACTTTGGCTCCCCAGAGACTGGATGCCCACCTTTTTCCTTTCCAACCCCTAAGTTTTGACTTCCTGGACATTTGTCCAGAGATCCCAAGGGCCTGAGGTCCAGTCTAGGCTGGGGCCAGGGCTAGGGCCACTTGAATCACCAGACTATCTGTGGTTTGGGAGCTGTTCTCTGAGAGGTTCCCCAAGCCCGAACCACATTCCAGAGAGGGATGGAGGAGAGCCATCTGGTAGCTTTATGAGGAGTCATTTGTTCTCAGGTGACTTCTGAAGGGAGCAGGGCTGTCCCCTGTTCAGTCATTCCTTCTCCTTACAAACATGAGGCAGGAGAGGAGGACAATTAAAGGTCATATGAAGAGGGAAAGCCCCTTACCTAGGATTCCGTGTGTATGTTTAACTGGCTGGATAAATTTAACACACTGCCTGAATCAGGGAAGAGGGCCTAAAGAGAAAAGAACCCTTTCTCTGAGTGGCAATCTGAGCCGAGCGTCAGAGCAGTGAATGGGTCGTGTCTGTTAAAGACTGAGTGTTCAGCTTCGAGTCTAATTTATGGGCATTCATCTCTTATTCTACACCTGAACAATGCATCTCACAAGCCTCCTACATTTTTTTAAGATTTATTTTTTAGTTTTTTTTAAATTTATTTATTTATTAAAGATTTCTGTCTCTTCCCCGCCACCGCCTCCCATTTCTCTCCCCCTCCCCCAATCAAGTCCCCCTCCCTCCTCAGCCCGAAGAGCAATCAGGGTTCCCTGCCCTGTGGAAAGTCCAAGGAACCCCCACCTCCATCCAGTTCTAGTAAGATGAGCATCCAAACTGCCTAGGCTCCTACAAAGCCAGTACGTGCAGTAGGATCAGAAACCCATTGCCATTGTTCTTGAGTTCTCAGTAGTCCTCATTGTCTGCTATGTGTACGTGTGTATGCCTGTGTAAATGTTTGCAGCATGCATGCAGTTCCTGAAGAGGTCAGAAGAGGGCACTAGATCCCCTAGAACTGGAGTTGCAGGCTGCTGTGAGCCCCTGACATGAGTGCTGTGAGTTGAACTCAGGTCCTGTGGAAGAACAAAAGGTTCTTAATTGCTGGGCCATCTCTCCAGCTCCCACAAGAGGGAATTCTTTAAGATAAGAGAAGTAAAACAGCGTATATATTTTTCCTTTTACATTCTTTCTGAGTGTTGGGATTAAAGGTGTGCACCATCAAGCACTTAAGCTTTACTTATTTTACACTTTAATTTTTGAACCTGGTTGTAAATTGCATCCTTTGAATAATAAGTTTAAAAGCCACAAAATACACACAGACAGACAGACAGACAGACACACACACACACACACACACACGCACAGTGTGTCTCTCCCTCTTTTCTCCTCCTCAATAAACTATACTCAGCTCATACTGACTTGTTGGGATTTCAAGCCCCTAAGCGAAAGACACCTTGGGACCCCCCCCCCCCCAGAGGTCATTCATAAAGAGGACCTTCTGTTGGCTCTGTGCCCCCACTGCTTCTCTGCCCCACACTTCACAGCTCTCAGATGTGCCAGAAGCTGACCTGGGTTCATTTTTCTATTTGAACCTTCTGAGGACAGTGATGGCCTCATTCACTTGTCTTTAGGGCTCAGCCATATAAGTAGCTGTGGACAGATGGAGGCTTTCTGGTCTAAATTGATCTGTCCAGGAATATTTTGTATTTTCAGCACCTATCCCATCTTACACAATTCCTTGAAGTCATTTAAAAATATTTCCCATGGGGCTGGAGATGGGACCCAGGGCCTTGTATGTGCCAAGTGTGCACTCTGCTCCAATCTGCATGCCTAGTCCCTCATGGGCATTTAGATCACACCTAACATTCAGGTGCAAAGTCTCAGTCTGCTGACTTTGCTCGGCTACAGCTAGATCAACAGCAGGCAGGAACAGGCAGCTTAGCCTAGTGGTCAGAACATGGAAGACCGTGTTTCCAGAGGAACACTTCCCAGATTGCTGCCCAGTGGCATGAGGCCATCACCTCTTCTATGTGACTCCCAGTGTCCTCCTGGGACATCTGCCTAGCCAGCACACATGGTGTGGTAATCAGGGTTCTCTAGAGGACTGGAACCCAGAGAATGCATACATATTACATAGGGGATGATCAGCTTAAACAATATGGCTGGCTGTACACTAGAGAGGCTGAGGACCACGTCGCTGCTGAATCCATGAGGGTGCACGTCTCTCAGCTGGCCCAGTCTGGCACCAAAGTCTCAGAATCGTTGGTCTTGGCCCAAAGTGCAAGTCTGAAGAAATGAAGGATGCCTGCACTCACAGACTAGATGCACTCACCAACAAAAATCAAAACCAGGCAGGTAAAATCAGCATTACCTTTTTTTCAGACCTCTTTATAGCTGGGCCATAAAGTGCTGCCCACTTTGGGGGAGGGGTTCCCCCTCAGTTAATTTTTCTCGGAACCATCCTCACAGATCTGCTCAGGAACAGGTTTCTTAGTTGATCCCAGAACAGTTTGGATTAACCACCACATGTAGGGTCTGTCCACATCCCTGTACTGCACTCCCGTGTGCTCACGGATCCCTGAAGCTTGGAGAGTGTGAAAGTTGTGTAGCTGGAACGGGAAGGAGGGAAGATGAAGGAGTAACAGAGGAGAAACCCAGTCATGGCCCAGCTTGGCTGGCGAGAGCAGCAAAGTTGACAGGGAGGGGCAGAGAAGTGGCTCATCAAGACTGCAGCTTGATACGAGCTTCTGCGTGGAACAGTCCTAGAGGGCTGGGGCTGGGACAGCGGCAGGACCAGGGGCTGGAGTAGGGGCTGGAGTAGGGGCTGGAATAGGGGCTGGAGTAGGGGCTGGTGTAGGGGCTGGAGTAGGGGCTGGAGTAGGGGCTGGAGTAGGGGCTGGTGTAGGGGCTGGAGTAGGGGCTGGTGTAGGGGCTGGAATAGGGGCTGGTGTAGGGGCTGGAGTAGGGGCTGGTGTAGGGGCTGGAGTAGGGGCTGGAGTAGGGGCTGGTGTAGGGGCTGGAATAGGGGCTGGTGTAGGGGCTGGAGTAGGGGCTGGAGTAGGGGCTGGAATAGGGGCTGGTGTAGGGGCTGGAGTAGGGGCTGAAGTAGGGGCTGGAGTAGGGGCTGGTAGGGGCAGGGGCTGGAGCAGGGGCTGTGGCAGGGGCTGGGGCTGGGGTAGGGGCTGGGACTGGAGTAGAGGCTGGGGCTGAAGCAAGGTCTGGGATACAGGCTGGAGTAGGAGCAGGGGTGGGACAGGGGCTGAGGTAGGGGCAGGGGCTGGAGCTGGGGCTGGGTTGGGTCTGGGCTGGGGCTTCAGGACTGGGATCTGTAAATAATAAGCTCTGCTTCTTAGCTGTGTAATATCCTGGGGAGAGGGCTGTCAAGAAGACTCACACTCTGGACTCTCTGGGGACTCTGTCTATCAGAGGTGGTGGGCATTGGCTTAATCCTAACTCTGACAAAGCCTTTGTTCAGGCTGTCTCCTGCTCTCTCAATAGTCTTCAATGTGAGGGCTTCCATTTCTGCATTGTCTTATGAGCCTGGGAGTGGAAGTTTAGCAGTGCATTCTGCTCTCAAGATGTATTTCAGATACAAGACTTAAGGCCACAAGACAGCCCCTAGTTGCAGGATATGGGCATTCCTCAATGCTTCTGACTTCTGTTCATGAATATGCATGTAATAAGAGACTGGTGGTGGCCCAGCTCCCTGGAGAAATTTTACTTTATATTCTACAAAAGAGCAATAAATAATAAATGCAGATGGTGGTTGCTATCTGCTGGCTATTAAACATCTCTGAAACTGCTTTCCTCTCCCATGGACGCTGAGCTGGGGGCCCCCTCTTGTCACCCCTGTCATAGAGTCATGCACAGAGAGAGCAAGCATGAAGCCTACATCTACCCAGCCGGGAAAAGACAGAGCAGCCTGGACTGTTGTGTGCTGTTTGCTGTGCTCGAGGCAGGCGGCAGCTCTGGCAGGGCTCCAAGCCCCAACGGGACTCCATTAAGAAAAGGCAGCCAAATCA